GAGGCAACTATTTATATCTGGACAACCAATGTTTTGAGGTATTTCGAGGCAACTGTTTCTATCGAGGCAACCGTTTATATTGGGGCAACCGGTTATATCGAGGCAACTGTTTGTATCGAGGCAACCAGTACCAAGGCAATTATTTATACAGGGCAACCGATATCGAGGCAACTATTTGTATCAAAAAATTGAGGCAACTGTTTACATCGAGGCAACTGTTTATATAAAAGCAACTAATATTTCAAGGCAACTGTTTAGATTGGAGCAACCGATATTTCAAAAGAACCTGTTTATATTGATCATTAAGGCAACATTTATTCCAAGCAAAAGAATATTTTGTAGCAACTACTGAGACAACAAATATTTTGTGGGCAACCATTAAAAAGCCATAAAACATAAAAATTTAAAATTTAAAGAAAGTTTTGAAAATAGATAAAATTAAACGAGAAAATAATAAGAGAGACGTTGATTAGAAAAGTTATTACAAATTTAACGAGATAATAGACTAAATTAGTAACATATAGTTACATTTATACATATATAATAAAATATTTTTCTTGAAGGAATTACCATATTGTTCTCTTCCCAGAAATTTAAAATTTATAAAAACTTTAATAATGTAAACGAAAATTTGAGATCAGCCAGGGCTGTAGAATAACTTAAAAAAATATATATTATGTTAAAAAAATGTACAAATGGGTCATGGGCTAAACCATGAAAAAGTTACAATTTAATAAAAGAATAAATGATCAAATAACAGCCAGACATTTCTGTTAGATCTAGAAACAAAATATGAGTTTGAAAAATTAGGTTCTTGAGAAAAGAAGGGTAATAAGGAAAGAATGTAAATACCAGTTAATTCAAAGGCTCCTAGCATCAATTGATGATAATCAATCCAACCCTTCGTATTCTTCCTTCCTCTGCGGTGGAACGAAAAGTAATATTAGAGGAAACAAACATCGACAAAGATCTTATAAATTCCAATCAGGTATTGATCACCTACAGCAGTAACCCTACATTTTAAAACAATAGGCTGGATTGCCACCGTTTTATTTATGATACTATTCAGCAACTACATCTAAATCCATTATCCCAATGAAAAGAAAAGAAGAAGAGATGCAATGTGTCTCGAACCCAATGGATCGGTTGAAGATTCGGATTAGGGCACACGAGCTCTAACCCGGATCGTTTTGAGGACCGCGGAATTGACCGGAGAGAAAGTTGAAACGAGGAAGGAGGCGATTAGGATTCTCAAAAAGAATTTATTTACGTTAGATGGTAGGCGATTAGGGTTCGGATTCTCAAAAGGGTAGGATCTCAGACGAGTCTCGATGATTCAGCGAAGAGAAAAGATGGGAAATCTTTATTTACTCGGTTCGGTTGCCAAAGGCAAAAAAATCATACAAGAACTTGTAAGACAGAGACAAAGATGAGAAGTGATGTACCTGAGATCAAGAGGAAGAAAGATCGAAGCGGTGCAACGCGAAAAGGCAGGAAAGGCGAGAGGGAAGGGGGGTGCGATGGCGGCAGTGAGCGCGAGGGAGGAGGATATCGGGACGATGCGGCGTTGGGCCGGCGGAGCGACGGTGCAGTGAAGAAGAGGGACGGAGAACGGCCGGCTAGGGTTTGTGAGAGGGAGGGAAGCGGCTAGGGTTTCATTTGAGGGTGAAACCACCGGTCTCTTCTTCCTTTTTTTATTATTTTTTAATTAATATGAAGTTGGGCCATGGACTGGGCCGCCTCGTTGGGCTGCTGGAGGAATGAAAATAATAAGCTAAAGAAAGTTGTTGGAAAATTGGATTTTTGATCCCATCAATAATAATTGAAATTGGATCAGTGAACCCTTTTTAAAAAAAACCTAATTTGTGACCCACCTCAATTTAATTTTGACCCCTTTAATTTTTTATTCGTGAGAAAAGATGAATTTACTCTCATTGTTAATAAATGCAAATATGCATTTATGATACATTAAATTTTCATCTATCAATTCCACCAAACTTTAAACTCATATTTTACATATGTTTTGAATTTAAAACACATTATCCAAAATCCTCACAGATCAAGTTTTTAAAATTCTCTCAAAGAAACATTGTTGTCCACGTGTTTGATCGTTGTCCCCACACTATCCAAAATCATTGCCCCTACATTTTCACTTTTGAAAAGTTAGGTACGTTGCACTTACAACCTTTTGTACTTTAAAATTACTGAAATGATTTGAGATATTTCATCATTCATACATTCACGGATTGGCTTCTTGAAAAAAAAAAATCAGATTGTTGTCTCGGACCTATACCTGGTCTGGGATGAAGACCTCGAGCATCGGGATTGAACATTCAATCCCAGTGCATTCTGGTTTGGGACACGAACCGGGACGCATCCCGGACTTGAATCCGAGATTGAGTTCGGGATTGAATCCTCACTCGTTACTTCTCGATTCATGATATCTGGAACCGGAAAATCTAACCTACAACTAATTGGTTGTTCAGATAGCGTCGAAAATGAAAACCTAACACCTAAGTAACGAAAATTTTCGAAGATCAACTAACCTCGCTTCCTCCTAGATCCAAGACGACTGTTGGTTGGCAATGTTGGATGTGAAAAGTTGGATTGTTCACTATGGATGGAGGGAGACGAAGGGTATGAGATTATGATTTTAGGTTTAGGATTTTAGTTTTGGGAATGGAGGGAGAGGAACGGTCCGAGAATGGGGAGGAAAAGATGGGTGTTGAATTTTAAATGTGAGGGTACTTCAGTAATTTCGCTTTAAATTTTTTTGAAAGGTGTCAAAATTAAGTGTTGGTGGGGTCACAAATTATGGGAAATTTGAAATTTTGACCCCTCCCATAATTCACTTTAGATTTATGACCACACTCTTCCTTATTTATTAATAATTTTATAATTTTTAAATATGAAATTACCGTAATATCCTCATGTTTCAAAATCAATCCTCTCTCCCTCTACAAATCTCTTTCCAATCTTTATTCCCCACAAATCTCTCACAATAATTAATTACAATCCTAAAAAATCAAAACTTTTAAGAAAAATATCTAACTTAAATAGTAAATTAAAAATTTAATAGGAAAAAAATAAAAAACGTACATAATTACATAAGATTTGTTCGAATTTAATTACAAAAAAAGTCAAGATTACAAAAATCTCAGGTCAATACTGCATTACATGCTTGAGATTTAATTGCTAACAATAGGACTAAGAGGAGAGAGAATGCAAAAAAAAATGAAATTTCCGGATCCCGTGATTGGAGAATTACGGACCAGGTTACTATTCAGTCCAAGATTCTGCAATCCCGGACCGGGATCCGCAGATTTCAGTTCTCTTCTTCTTCTTCTTCTTTTTTTTTTTTTGCATTATCTCCCCTCTTAGCCCTTGTCAATTTAATCTCTCGCATTTAATGCAATTTTGACCCGACATTTATGCAATCTTAATTTTTTTTTTTAATTAAATCCGGACAAATCTTATGCATTTATTCTTAGATCATGCAAATCTTTTTTTCACCCTAATTTAGTTATTGAAGGATTTAATCTACAGATTTTTTTTGTGTGAATTCGTTTGTTAAGTAATTGACTCCTAAATTAATCCATATTATATTCAAATTTAAAAAAAATGGTAAGGGTTGAGAGAAGAGATTGGTGGATAATTTTACTTAAAATAAAGAAGGATATTTTGATAATTTTACAAAAAGTGGAAATGGGTCACAAACTAGAACATCACAAATTAGGTTTTTTTTAAAAAGGATCAAAAATCCAAATGAGTTATATAATGGGGTTAGAAACCTCAATTTCCCACCAATTATGTTTTTTTAAAAAGGGTTCATTTGTCCAATTTTAGCTATTGGTGGGTCATAAATTCCAATTTTCCAAATTGCTTTACAACAAGTTATTTTGGGAGGAAAAATAAAAATAAAAGAAAATAATTTATCAAACAAAACAACTTATTTTGTTGGAAAATAATGTTTTTGGATAAAGTTTATTATATATTTATTTTAACCGGTCAATAATCTATCAATAATATAATTAAACAACGATATTTTTTAGAATTTATAAAATTTATTGATTATTATTATTATTATTTTCTGAGAATCAATAATTAAAGTAATTAATTGTCAATAGCATGCTTTTTTTTTCAATTTCAGTGAATAGTGATTCTGAAAAATCAAATAATAGATAAAAATATATAATTATCCAAGAATTGAGAAGTCAATATCTTGATTGGAGATATATGGTCAATTAAAGCTATACTCGCTTTGACCTCGTTTGTTCTTCTTTATTAAAGAGAAATGGTCTTTTAAGAAGGAAGGAAGAAAAATAGAATTGTGTTTGGTAATTGTTTCTTATCTTTTATTTTTTTTTATTTAAAAAAAACATAAATAGGTTACTAAATATGTTAGTAACCATATTCTGGTTGGTTGTTCTCTAAAATTTCAAATACAAAAGAAAGTAAAAAATTTATATGAGAATTAATTTTTAAAATTAATCTTCAGACTTATTTTTTAATATTTAACATGCATGTTATAACTTAAGAGTGATAAAATGTTATGTCAAAAGAAAAAAAAAAGAGGGATAAAACGATGCTTTTTTCTTTGTGTTTTAGAAAGAAATGGGAGTTTAAAAAATGGAAATAATAACAATAAACAATATAAAATAATGTTTTTATATTTATGTTTGTTTGGTAATGTTTTCGTCTTTTTTTTTATATAAAAATTGTTTCTCCTTTTTAATAAAGAAAGATAGAATTGCATGCCTCCCAACATCTACGATTCCAAAATGATAAAACAATATTTTATTTATGTTTTAGAATAAATAGAAAACAAAAAAAATAAACAAGAAACTTATTTGTACTGTTTCCAAAATTTTTTAAAATTTTGATAATGTGTCCAGAAAATGAGATACACAAAACATAAATAGCTGTCACATACTTATATTTTTTACTAAAATTGGAAATGAGAAACAATAAACCAGGAACATTACCAAATGGGACATTGATTTTATTCTTTCCAAAATTTATACGCAATTTTTAAATGCGTGTTTTTAAAAAATTATTGTATAAAGTAAAAAATATAAACATGTATCAAATTTCTGAAAAAAAAAAACTAGAAATTATAAGCAAAAAAACAAAAATCAATAACGTCAATCAAATAAGTCCCAAAGCTTCTCAATCTTAGACTACATAAAGCCTTTAATTTTGTATAAACCATCAGAAATTTCATGATATCTCTTTAGCATATGTGTCATCGTTGTGACATTGTTTAACTATGATAATTTATATGGTTGATCATGGTGGCCACCTATCTAAGATTTAATATCTTACGAGTTATCTAGGCGACCAAATGTAGTAGGATCAGACGGTTTATCCGGTAAGATTAGTCGAGGTGCGTCTCTAGCTGACCCGAACATTCACAGATAATAAAAAAAAGCAAATAATTCATATGGTTGGTTGTGAACCATGAGAAAAGAAGGATGTTTCACCAATTTTCAATTTCCTGAGTTTATTATTATTATTATTATTATTTCCTTTTTACGCTATAATATTAGTAGTAGGTTTTCCTTTTTTTTTCCTACGTTTTGTTTTTTAACCCTAGGAGGAATGAGGTTATAATATGCTACATAAAGGGAAAAAAAATAACATTTTTCTTATATTTTTTCAAGAATTAAAAATATATTGTAATCTTCTTAAATGTGAAAACTAATCAAAATGATAAAGATGAGTTTTTGAGAATACACTCAATCTTCTAAATTATCCAAATTACTCATTCTCATATTTACCTTTTAAAAATATGTCTTGTTGATAACTATTCAGGTATTCAGGTTTCTTATCAGAAAAAAGAATTATAGCAAATTTATTTTTATAAACAAAAATTAATTAAATATTATATAAAAGTCTATTATTTTATGAAAATTTTGAGAAAATTATATATAGAGAGATAGTACACCCATTACTCTACATGTTAATTATGTTATGAAAACTTGATACGATGGCTTTGATGTTGAATAGAGAGTGGAGAATCAATCATCAAGAAGACAACCAGAAGATGATCTCCCCCGCAGCTTGTTTGAATATATCCTCGGCCACAATCGCCGTCCCAAATTCATTGCATCCTCCATTTGCCTGATTCCATCGAAACAACTCTTTTTAAATATGAACTTCGAATCAATAACAATTTCAGCTTATTTCTTGTAATCGATGAATCTAAGACGTTGTGGTAGGTGATACCATAAAGCCTATGACCTTTGTCATTGCGCCATTCTTAGGAAAGATTTGGTTTTTTTTTTTTTGTAACTATTTTTAAATTAAGAAAATAGTTAATTCTTGCATGATAAAGGATTGTTTTAAAAACAAACGTTTTAAAATTATTATGTTATTTTTAATATTATTCTTATTCATTTTATAAGTTATAAAGGATAAAAATGTGATTTTATTTATATTTTTGAAAACATAGAAACACAAGTTTTAGTAACTATATCAATATGTATTCTTTTGTTGTTATATTAGAAATACATACAACATAATTTGGTTCCTCCTTTCTTGTTTTCATTTTTAGTTTTTAAAAAACATAAATAAAATTATTATTTTATTATATTTTATTTAAAAAGTGTATATTAAATATTAAAATTAAATACAACATAATAGTTTTATTATTTTATTTAAACAGTTAATTCTCAAGGTAAAACTTTGATTTTAATTTTTAAATTTGAAATTTGAGAGAATAAAGAAACACCAAGCACATTTATTTTCTTAATTAAAAAATAAACAAAAAATAATTACAGAAAATAGTTTTATTTTTATTTCCTGAAAAAGCAACAAACAATATATTTTTTAAATCCCTAACATTACATAACCTTAGATTTTATTGTTTCCATATTTCATGTTCACTTTTGAAAATATTTCTTAAAAATAAAATAAAATAAAAACAAAAAAAAACAATTACCAAAGCTTGTATTCCTAAAAAGAATTAAAATAAACAAAGAAATCAAAACTTACTAAAAAAAGAAAAGAAATGCTAAATTACAAAAATGTACCTTGAATTTCGTCCCTTGCTTCGAAAAATAACCCTAACATTTCAAAAGTTTCTATACTATCCTTAATACTTCACAAACCTTTAAAATAATACTCTTTGAACAAACCTTAATTATTATTTTTAATAAAAAATTAACATGGCAGAATTTGGAACGACAAATTAATGAAAACTTGCTTGAACCAATTAACTGATAAGACAATAAATTTGACCTTTAATGACAGTAAGAAAAATAACAAGGACCACAATTGACGGTACCAAATTTGTTGTGTGTAGTTAATTGTGACAAACATAAACTACTATTAATTGTAATTTTTTAAGATTTCACTCTGTCAATTTTTGGTTTAAAATATCAACAAATATTTGCTTAAAAAACTTTTGAAAAGAGATAAAAGTATTTTTGATAGGCCTCAAAGTTGGAGAGTATTTTTTTTTTAATTCAACCAAAAAGAAAGATGAGAGGTATAGCATTTGAATTACTTACATGGGCTTGAATCATAAACAAGCTCCGATCGATATCGGCCGAGACATGAGCCGAAACGACATTGATCTTATGCTTCTTGAGAACATAGCAAATGGCGGTGAAGAGGCCAGGCTTCTTGGCAGAGCATATGCTGATCTGGGCGTCGCCGCCGCAGACGTTGAGGACGACATTAGAAGAAGTCCAGGTCTGGAAAACAGAACAACTGCGAGCAGGAATAATATTGGGAGAAGTAGTAGTACTGTTGGAGAAAAGCAGAGCCGACATGTCGTTGGAGGAGGACGCGTGATCGGCCAAAAAGGCCTCCCGAGTTGAGGACTGGGAAGGAAGAAGCTTCAGAGAATCGTAGGCGTAGGGCGCGACATTAGTATTATGGATCCTTTCCAGTTTTTGTTTTTGGAGTTTCTGAAGGGTTTGTTGAAGGCCTTTTATGTAGTTTACTGCTTCGTCCACTATGGTGGATTTGTCTGCCTGAATAAAAAAAATTGTGTATAACAAAAATAAATAAGAACTTTTTTTTCTTTCTTTTAGTACAACATATGAAGATCGAGAATTCGAACTCATGATCTTTTGGTCGAAAATAGGTATTTTAACCAGTTTATCCTCGGGTTGGTAGAAAAGAAATTTTTTATTAAAAAAACTTTTTCCATTCTAACCAATTCTTTATTATTTATAGGATTTTTAAATATAGCAACAAATTTAAAATTATGCAAATAGCATAAATATGGCTTGAATTAAAAAAAAAAAAAAACTATCACATAGAAGAAGAAAAGTATAAGTTTTTATATTGTTTAAAAAATAGTTAAAAGAACTGAGACATTCTTAAACAATAATGAAATAATATTTTTGTTGAAGGAAAAAAAGTTTTGAAAAGCTATATATACTTTTAATTTTAGTTTGTAAAATTTAGTTATAATTTAAAATTTTCTGGAAAGCATTTAAGAGAAAGAAAAGAAAAGGTAAATAAACATAATTTTTTAAAAGACACATACAAAAACAAAAATAAAATTAACCTAAATTGTCGCTTTATCCAGAAATAAAAACCTAAATTGTTCCTTTGCAAAAAAATAAAAAGAAAAACCTAAATTGTTTAATGAGTGAACTTATCATATCATGTCATAGGCTACAAATTTCTTCAGAAATACTAAAAGGAAAAAACGTGTCAATAATTAAAAACTACCCATCCATTAATATTAAAAGTCATGATATACAATATAATTAAAAAAAAAATCAGTGTCACATAACGCCATTGGAATCTGCAGCTTTTAAGGTTTATTACCATTGAAGAAAACTTGTCTTCATATGGAAAATAAACAAATAAATAATATAATTCAAATCACAAACACTCAAATATATTCGTAATTACATTAATAAATATCACGCTTAATTATTCCTAAAAAAAAAATTGTGTTTTGGTTTTACCTTAGGAGGAAGGTGAGGAAGCAAAGCATGAAGATTAGCAAACATATTCCTCATCTTCTTTCGCCTCTCTCTCTCAGTCCATATATGAATCTCATGATCGGAGGATTCTCCAACTCCAAGTATGGCGGCGCCGGACTTTTCCTCCGCCGGCTCCCTCTTCGTTCCCGACGAGGACAGGCGGGCGGCGGAGGAGTTGAGGAGGCTCTCCCAAGATGGGGACATGGTGGGTGTGGTGAGAGAAGAATGGGAAGAGGGCTGGAAGCAATGGTGGGTGGGGAGAGAACTGAGAAGTGAAGAAGAAGAAGAAGGCGTTTTTTAAAGAAAGGTGGCGGAGTTACAAACAGGTCTCTGGTTAGGGAAGACCACAAAATACAATCATAAGACCATGCCGTTACGACGCTACACGACAAAAACGGATAATGTCGGGTCCCACTTTGGACGGTGCCTGCTTCCCTCTCTCTCTCTCTCTTCTATTTATTAAAAAAAATTGATATAATTAATTATTAACTCTTTTTCTTACCTTTCTTGTTTTTTTTTAATTTAATTGTGATTTGTAATAAGTGAGTAGTAATCTAATAATTAGTAAATGGTTGTCCAGGAGATTTATGGTAGTAAAAGTCTTAGAAATAATATAACTATATACTGAATAAAAGTAAAAATAATTCAAAATGTTGAAAGAGTAAAATTTTTTATGTTTTTTTTAAGAGTTAAAAAAAAATTGTTAGGATTCGTTTGGTTTCGTTGTATTTATAGAAGTCTCATTATACAATTGCCAAAAAGAAAATAAAGAAAAAAAAAACTCATTATTACTTCACTTAAAAAGGAACGGATCCACGTAGGATTTAGTTGGATTCATTGGCTCCCTCATTATTAATGAACCAAATCTATAATTCTATTATTCATCATTCTATTAGAGTATTTAATTAATGACTATTTTGTTTTCTACACAGTTTTTTCTTTCTTTGGTATTTTTGAATATTAAGGTCAGTTTGCGCGTAAGTCAGTTAATCTCAGGTGCATTCTGGAATTTGAATTTATTCTCTCTAAATCTTTTAGATTTACTTTATTCTTTTGTTACTAAGAAACTGAAAGAAACCTCAAGAACGGAGGAAAAGGGGGAAAGCGAGGAAGAAACAGATGTTCCAAAACGAAGGGGACTAGGATGATTATCTCTTTTTTTTTTTCTTTTTTCTTTTAAATTATTTTTCAGGATAATTCTTCATATTTTGTTAGAACGCTGTTAAAAATCTTATCAAATTTTAGAAAACTAAAACAATCTTTCAAGGACCACTTCTTTTAGGTATTAATTTCAAATATTCAAAATGGAACGATAAAGTTAATAATCTTTTTATAATCATGTCATGTGAATATTTGATATTTGAATAGAAGAGGGATACATAGATAAATCGATACTACATTTGAATGAGAGGAATCCTAAGATCATGCAAGTAAGATTAAGAAATACTTAAAAAAATTGATAGTAACAACTATACATCTATACAAACAAGACGTACTTTCCTTTTGAGTGGTTCAATCTTAAAAACTTCAAAACTAAAAACAGTCTTCACTCTCCCAAGCACGATCCAAGTGCTAAAGTTTATCTGGTTTTCTAGTATCTTTTGAATTGTAATTTTATGTCGGTGACAATGTGTCCATACACATTAGACAAAATGGAAGTCAAATTTACCATCATGTGGCAAATAAATATCGAGAGAAGGAATTAGATAGCTAGACAAAAAATAATCGAGCGACATGGTCTACAAAAAGAGATTTGATATGTTACTTTGAAAAGAAGAAATGTCACACAATATAACAATATATTATTTTCATTCACCTATTCACTTTCTTTTGTACCATTTATCTTCGTGTGGGAGATAAATCAACCAGATTTGTCCAATAAGTATACTATGTCAACATTTATAGTTAAAGTTGAACCGATAATTAATTAGGATTACATAAAGAATTACAATTCAAAGTTTTTTATAAACTAAATAAATACAACTATCACCCTTTAAAAGGACTAAATTATATCCTAAAAACGAGTGTTATATTACAAGTTTAGTTCTTGAGCTCCCTACGTGTGGTTGTAACTAATGAATTTCTAAATTTTAGAGGTATCTAATAACTTCTAATTTTGAAGGAATGTTCAAGATGTTTCCAAGGAGTATCTTTGAGGTCTTAGATTCAAGTTACAAGGAACACAACTCCACGGACAAAAAAAAAAGAGAAAGAAAATATAGTTTAATTTAGAACTCGTTTCATAACCCTCTCGTTTTTTGTTTTTAGTTTTAAAAAAATGGTTGTTTAATAACCAATTCAATTTTCTGTTTTTTATTTTTCAAAAATCATTTTAAAATTCTAGATAAATTTAAAAAAAAAAAAAATTCAAAAACAGGTTCTTGTTTTTCAAAATCTAATTTTTTAATTCTGATACTCTAACTTTTTTTTCTCTTTCTCATATTTATCTTTAAAAGATTTATTTCTCACTCTAAATTTTTTTTATTTCTAAATTTCTCTACAAACTTTATTTTCTTCTCTATAAAATTTTCATATTTAGAATATTTATTATTATTTATCTCTCTCCAAATTTGTATGTATTCTTATTTATTTTTTTTTCTAACGGACCAATTTCATTTATCTCTCTAAAAATTTAATATTTTTCCTAATTTTTTTTCTAAAATTTCGTCTTTTATAACTTTTCTCCCTTCGTATTCTATTTTTTCCTTTGAGAATTATATTTTATTTTCTGGTCAATTTTATTTCGCTGTAACTTTTATTTATCTCTGTATTTATTTATTTTATCTAAAAAATCATATTTTGAATCTTATTTTTATCTCTAAATTTCTAAATTTTTTTCCACTATAATTTTTCTCCTTTTTTATAATTTCTTTTTTTCTTTAAAATATATTTTCCTCTCGATTTTATTTTTTTTCTCTAAAATTTTTCTTTTTTGTCTTTAACTTTTCTTTCAGTATTTTCTTTCTAGATTTTTTTTATTTATCTCTCTAAAATATATCTTCGAAAAGTTTATTAATAAATGTTTGTTTTCATGTCTCTACGTTAGGGGAATGACAAAAATAGGAAATGCATGTCTCGACCCGTCCCATCCCCATTTTTAAATAATTAATACATATTTATTACACTTTTTTTATTTAAATTCTGAAAATAATTATAAACAATTATAAAAACCGATAATTTTTCTCGAGAACGTCTCTCGGACTCAAGAACGAGGAGAATGAAAATTTTCACGAACACGAGAATGGGTACGCTTACTCGCACCCATATCATTGTCATCTCTACTCTACATAAAAATTTTTCTCTCTAACATGTATTTTCAATTTTCTAACTTTTTAAAAACAAAAAACTAAAAATCGTTACCAAACATGTTTTGGTTTTATATTTTTTAAAAACTAAAAATAAAAACAGTTATCAAACATATATGAAAAAACAAAAAACCAAAAACTAAAAGCAAGAAAAACAAAAATAATTATCAAAACAAGGATGGGATTTTTAATTAGTTTAGAAAGAAAGGGCTTTGTAGGAAAACAAAAGATGTTCGAGAAGGCGAAGAAACGGTTAAAAAGCAAAAGAAAAGTAAGGTTTGTTTTTGTTCCTTTCTATGTTGTGGCTGTGGGATTCTTCAAACCCTAACTGAACACTTTTAATTTCTAAATTAAAATTAAAGAAGCGTTACTAATTAACAAACCTCCCTAATCATTACAACTTTGGAAATTGTCCTTCCTTTAATTTATTCCTTCTATACAAAAAGTAGCAAAAAAAAAAAATGATAGAAATTTGCAAAAGTAGCAAGGAAGTTTCAATTTTGCAAAAATGTAACAAAATATGTAGGCCAACTCACGTAGAAGAAAGCAAAAAGTCCAATAAATCCTCAATAAACAATATACATGATATATCAGACTTTGTTATGATCTAGGTACGTGTATGTGAAATCGTGTTTTCTTACCCTATTCACGAGCTCCATCTTTCTACCATATTCTACTATCGGGGTACTACATCATTTTATCTATAATAAGTAGTTTTTATGATAATATGTTGAGGCCTAGAATATCAAGATCATTTGAAAAAAAAAAAAAAAAAAAACCTCAATATTCACTTGGTGTGTAAAAACCGTGTTTTCAAATGATACTGGGTTTCACATACACACACCTACATACTAAAAAAAAATTATGTATCATGAAAATCCATATATTATAGATAAATTGATGTTATATCTTGAGATTTAATAGTAGAATATGGTAAAGAATATGTCATTGATATATTTGAAATCTAAAAGGGTAAAATCAGAATAACAAAGAAATCAAAAATCAAATTTCAAATATTTTAACATATACACGAAACTAAAAATTGTTTGTAATATGACAAATATTTTAACTACCAATTACAAATTTTCAAATACAAAATTGAGATCACGATCTTTTACACACAAATATTGATGCAGCTCGCTGACTTAACTTTGGATGATTGAATTAGGTCATTGGTGTTCCGGGGTGGGTTGAAATTAAGACTAAAGAGTTATTTAAGACTAAATAAAAGTCTAGTTTTATGTCTAGAATGTAATTAAAAAATTTTAAGGTTCTAGTATTAAGAACCAATTTATAATTTAACTTATAAATAAGAAGTTAGATTTAAAATGAAAAAAAGTATATATTACTTCAGTCATTATGATTATGATTTTGTTTTTTTATTATCTATTCTTAAAAGTTGAACTGATCACCACTGCTACTTATATATCTATGTTTTCTCCTATTAAAAAAGAATTGAAATTTTATACAAAATTTTTTAAACTATTCTTTCGAATTTTCAAAATTTAGATACACACATATGCTTCTTTGAATGTAGAGAACCAGCCATGATCATCAGACAAATCATTATGCTTTTTCTTAAATTTTATGCCATTTTTTATACAATAATTTAATTTTTTTAGACATTATATATATATTAATTTCTTGATGTCACGAAATTGAATGTTTGAAACAAAGAAATCATAATAATATAAGTACATGATTGAGACCTAAAGGCTAAAAGTGTAAATAATAATAAAGATTGACATTTTTAAAATATTGATTCTAAAACTAACACTATAAGAGAATTTGTGCAATTATATAAAGTAATATTTGTAGGGAAAATTTTATCTCGATATATGCCAATTACTGTTGAGCTATACGATATATGTAGATATATGTAGAGTACCTTTATTATTATAAAATAAAAAATATATGTATCGTGGGACCCATATATTCAAAAAAAAAATC